AGGACCCGAAACAAAGTCAATTAAAAACCCTAAACCAAAAATACCCATTAGAAGTTCCACAATTCCGCACAATAGACACAGCAATACTGATTTTTGCCATGAACCTTGAGCTGCTTGAAACGTCAGTAGAGCAACAATAGCTGAGGGACCAAAGGGCACGTCTTTACAACTACCAAGAAATATATAAACAAAACAGCCAAGAAATGAGCCATATAAACCATACTGTAGGAAAAAAAAGAAAGAAACATAGAGTTTTTACATCACGAATATTCGCATATATAAAAAAATAAATGTCTTTGGATACTTACTGCTGCTGGTACGCCTGCAATACCGGCATAGGCCAATGCTTGTGGTATAACTGTTAACCCAACTGTTACTCCCGCCACTAAATCACCCACCGCATCATCACTACTGTATTTTGGTAGCCAACGGGTTATCGGTAATCGTTTGTGTAATGTTTTTTTGTTAAAAGTTCGCTCTGTACACCGTTTAAGCCATGATTTAGCACAATCCATTTTGCTGTGAGGGGGTATAATTTTTTTGCCATCTGAAGTTACTGCATCAAATAAAATAAAAATAAATCAAAATAAAATAGTTATACCAATATCAAAATAATGTATTTTAATTTCAAAACAAATTAATTAATTATTTAATTTATTCTCGTATTTAAAAGATTAATTAAAATTTAAAGAGCTACATTAGGTTAGCGGTTAACAATTTACTATGACAACATTTTGAGCTACTAGTCTTTTACAACATCATAGCGTTATCGAAACCAATTGTTATTGGTAGTTTTCAAGGCATTTATCTAAATACTTATATTTGAAGACAGGCATGCATTACGGTGTTTCATCTCCAAAGTATATGGCAAAATGACAACTTGTGGATGGCCACACTGAGGCATGCTAGAACATTCAGTTTAAAAAATATGCCGATATTCAAATGTTCAATTGGTTTCTCTTAATTTTACTGAACAACAAGGATTTTTATAGAAGTATGACTTATATAAACCATAAAAGTTTTGTATTTCTCTCTAAAATTTTCTATGATTATCCATAATTGATAAGTATGCTTGTGCGCTACTAATTTAATTGCGCTGTTCTTTTGGAATAGATGTGAGCAAATATTGTAGGTGTGAATAAAGTGGTTAAGTATATTTAGTCTATCAGGTTGGTCTGATGCTCAAGTTGAGCATCAATCCGATATTCCTAGAATTATCACCGGTACTGAGTACTTCCATTTTACAGTGCTCAGTACCGTAAACCTCCAGTGTGTATCGCACATTTAAGGTTTACATCTGTAAGGAAGTTGGAGCCCACAGCATCGGTTGTCCTGACTAATAGAGGTTGGTTGTACAAGAAACACAAATCTACGCTGGTAAAGTAATATTATCTATTTCCTTTCATTCAATATTGATATAAGTATAATTGGTATGTGATATTGATGATATTGGTATAAGTTTGGCCTTGTTTCTCACCAAACAGTAAGTTTATCCATACATGTGACTTCAATTGGTTCGGTATTTATCGGCACCTTATATTAATATGTATGTTGAGAACATCGTTAAGCCTTAACAGCAGCTAAACACATGAAATAACTCTTGATTTTTTCTGTGACCTTTGAATTAAATATTTATGTATATCATGGTAAATATAAAATTGTAATATCTGATATATGTAATATAAATATCTGAATAAAGAACTAAGTAACTATAACTGTAGTTTATGGTTTTATTTTAATACTTTAATATGCAAATAAATTTGTTGAGTGAATACATCCACAAACAACTTCAAAACCTGGATCAGTAGAGCGTTTGGAAGGCAACTGTTTATTCCGTAGTTGTTCAAACTGTCGTCGATTAAGTCGGTCCTCTACTGCTCTCAATCCCTTTAACGAAACAATAAAAAAGCGAACAGTCAACAGAACAAGAGTTGTGTTCCGTAATCACAATGACAAGTCACATTCATCTATTAATGACTCGGGTCAAATTGTCTAAACTTGGTTGGAAAGTTTTAATGCATCCAGCGTATAGCTCGGAGCTTGCACTGTCTGACTATCATTTGTTTCAATCTTTGCAAGACTTTATTAACGACGAAATTTTGGTCGACAGAAAAACAGCTGAATATCTCTTAGCCAAAAATCATAATAATTTTATGCCGATTTATGAAGCTACCTGAAAAATGCCAAAAGGTCATAACTAATAATTACTAATACCTATATATATATCATCAAAATTGATTAGCAATGAAGACAATTATTTTTCAAAAATATATCAAAAAATAGCGGACACTCATCATCCAATATTTTTATTGAACTTAATTTCACAACACTTATACTTTATAGAAAACGACTATCTTATATACTAAACTATCTCACACTTAACCGATAACTGACGTATTGTTAATTAAAAACTTTTCTTTGAAAACGTGCTAAAACAAGCAGTATCAATTAAGAGGAAAATAGATTCATAACGATTCATTGGTCATTATCTGAAATTTAATACCTAATATACAATGGAAAAAACAGATAATAAAAGTTTTTTTTTCAAATGTACAGATTTGTTATATTTAAAACCACTGAATGATTCATTTGAGAAAAATTTCGTCAATTTGTTTCATTGTTTGTTTATGTCTAAAAAGCGATTAAATAGAAAAGCGCTGGGTAAATTCACCATTTAAATTCGAGTTAAATAAAAAAATAACTTTCAGATAATTTATGCAATACAGACGGAAATATTTTAGATAGATATTGAAATGAGTTTGAGGGGGTGAATATGAAGAATCAAATAACTTTAACTCTGTGAACTGTGAAGATAAACTCCCAATCAGTGCACATCCAATGTGTTATTTGAAAGGAAGGTTTTATAGTTAAGATTGCTTTGAAAAAATGCATTTCCATTAATTTCATTAACTGTAAACATATAACTGGCATTGTAATTACTCTCGTGTAAGTCAGTGAAATACTAAAAACCGTTTCGCTTCACCGATACACACTTTATTGTTTACAATTTGTTCAGAACTAAGCAATAAAATTGTATCTATCATTTGCGTTTGTAGTATTTCGTGTTTCAATGAAAATTGGCGTTTTAGCATTTAAGGAAATGTGCAATCAAATCGGTGTTGACTTCAGTTAATACTTTGTTTAAAATTTAATATATCAATTTAATTAAAATAAAAAGAACCACATAAACAAATAACCCTTGAACTATTTTCGTAAGCGTAGTAGGTATAACACTAAAGTGAAACAACGAATTTTAATGAGTAGTCCATAACCCTTCAGGCAAGGTAATTAAATTATTGTGATGTGAATGTTTAGAGCTTATAAATATATTTAAGTATTTATTCAGAAAGGTTTTTCACAAACAATAACACATAAATTTAAAAAACAACCATTTATAATAATTAAGTAGGTGTATACAATTATAGCTGTGGTTTATGCGTTATTATTTATAAATAAATCAATGAAATTTAAATCAAAAATCTGGCGAAAGATCGTTTGAAAGATCTTTCGTATTTTGGCAGCTGTCTTATGCAAGACTGTAAACTTTTTACGGTACTTGACAGACCAAATGAAAGACCACTATTCAAAAATGAAAATCTCAATGATAAGAACAAGAAGCTGTTATATAATCAAATAATTCGTCTGTCACTTCTATATAGATGTGTAGTGTTTGGCAATGCCTCAAACACTACTATTCGCACATGAGCACATTTACTCTCTATTAACTGCGAGGTGTCTTCATAACAAGGTTTTTGAACAGGGTTGCATTTGTAATTTCAAGAAAATGTTTAAAATTTCTTTGTGTTGACATTTAAGTGGAGCAAAGAAAAGAAAAGTGCAAAACGAACGAGAAGAAACATTAAAGAAATTAAAGTATGTGTGTAAAGTTTCATTCGAAGAGTTCAAAAGCTGAGAGAGTAGTTTGAACTGAAAAAATTACATATACTGATATATGGTATTTTCGACATTTCCTTTAATGCGTTACGAAAATCTTGACAAGTCTAATATACCCTTTTTACGCTTTTTCGTGTAGAGGTTATAAAAAGATGTTAGTTGGTTCGAATTTGCTTATGGGCCTAAAAAATACCTTCCGGAGAAGCCTGTGATCGTTCTCAGATTTGTTAACGCGGCGTTTTCAATTAAATTTTAGAATATTATGACTTTTATTTCAAAGCTCCCTTGAAATATATTTTATTCCATTTTAGACCAAATTATTATGTTCAACCTATTTGAGCCAGTGCACTTGAGCACTTTTACTCTTTCTTAACTCGACGTATTTTCCAAGCCTCTCTTTACGCCTTGACTGGATTATTGTTTGTCACTTGATCAGACTAAGCAATAATTGACCTCAGATCTGCATACCTCCCCGAGGAGCCTGTAACCATTCTGAGACCAAATGTGTTAATAAATTTAGTAACCTGTATAAAAATAGGATCTGCCAATTGAAATTTTGGTATTATATTTATAGTGATATCTTGAAAAAAGTATTGACTACATTCAATGTTTAGAATTTTTTATTGTTAAATTGAAGTATGTGTTTCATCCAAATAAATTTTACATTTTTCTAATTTCCATGGTAAACTGAAACCATTTTCAAGAGTTTAGCAGTTTGATCTCCAGTCATGATATATGCATTAGTATGTTTTCGATTTTTGTTTTTAGATTTTAAAAAATTGCCTTTCAATTACGGTTACTTATAATTAGCTACCAACGATTGAACAATATTTTGCACATTGATTATTATCTCTCATTTCATCAATCTTTCTACAATATAAGTAAACTTTCCATCGTGACATCAGTATATGCTCTTAATGTTCGGCTCGGAGTACATTAGCGATAAACACTCGGTCTATTGCTTCAGTGGTTCAGTGGTAAAAACTTTCAATAATTAAAGTTTATATATTTAATTATATTATTTAATAGTTTTAAATAAATAACTATTAGTTAAATAAATAATTAGGATGAAATATGTAATAGTCATTAATATGAAAATCTTGTAAATGTGATTTCGGCGTGACGTGATGAGTTCACGATACCGTGAAACTACTATATGTTATTTTAGAAAATATAAAGTAATTTTTTTTGTTGTAATATATTTAGGAGAATTAAGTTTTTTTATTTATTAACTTGTTTTCAATTTATACATTTTTTATATTGTAATAATGTCATGCCTATATAAAGTAATTTAAACCAATGTATTATTAATCTACTTTATAAATCTTACAGGTCTCTCCGACACTTACTGTTTCTAATTATACTACAACAAAATATAAACACAAATTGAGTAGCAAAATGCGATTACATGACCCTAAGAAAATATAGACATTTATAATGCCGTTTAGAATTATGAAAATTATTAACTAGTCCTGCTTTGAAAAATCATCGAAGACTATCAGAAACTGATATAGGAAATCTTAAAAAGTTGTTAAAAAACAAAAAATTGACTAAGGACGCTCTTAAAGCAAGAAAGAATAGACTTTTACAGAAATATTATAGAAAAACAAAAGGGATACTAAGACTGGGGACATCTTAAAATAAGAACGAATTCATGACAGTCTATGTAATATCTGTCACTGAATCACACTATATTTACTAATTAACTATAATATATTATTTACAATCCCTATAATGAAATTAGGTGTTTAAACAAAATATATAAGACAGAGCAAAATTACTAATAAGTAATCTATTTAAACATATATAATTATAAATTTATAGTATTAGGTCACATCATCATAGATAATATACATATATATTTACTTTGAGTTTTATAAAAGTCTTTTTCTATTAATTTTTTTTTTTAATTAAATTGTCAAAAATTCAATTTTTTCATCATTAATTTGTATCTCTGCCTTCAGCGTTGGCCTTCTTCTTGCAGCTACGAGTATCTCAACATAAGGAGACACAATGTTATTTTACTATATAATTCTTTTATGAATAAAATTTCATTCAATTTCAAACTTTAGCTAAGTCATAAGTATGTCAATAATGATGAGAATATCAATAAATGTCACATAAATACCAATAAGACCCTAACTTCATTTCACACGCATTTAATTGGCATTTAATCGATGGTAATTAGAATTTTTTATCGCTGAAACAAATTTTGTATCTCAAGCGATAAATGGGAATTTCAAAGCATTTTAATTAATTTATTCCAGATACTGCTTCGCTAATTTTTGTTTATCGGATAATTAATAAATTGAATTGTTAATTTTTTATTATCTTGACATTTGATTTGCTCACATATGAAATTTAAGATCTATTGATATGGTATAATCGTAATTATTACAGAGAAACCGCAAAAAGGCATAAAAATTGTCAATAATGAATAACGATTTTTGGCACACTTTCGCGTGCTGTTTCAATATTTGTTGAATTTTAATGAATTTGTTTGCGGAATTACTTAACACGTTCATATAAAAAAACACACGTTTAAATATAATAAATTAAATGGTTTTTAAAAATAAACAAAATTGTAAATAAATTTGTATTTCGGACGTAAAAATTGCATAGAATATTATGTTTTATAAAATTTCTCATTCATATATATGAAAAATTATATATATATTATTATTAATAATATAAATATCGCATAATTATTAGTTAAAATAAATACACTCGTATATATCGGTACCAATTCTTTAAATAGGAGTCATATGGTATTTTCATTATTCCGTGTATTTTTAACTAATATAAGTTCTACAATTACACTTATGACCAACGATAAAGTCATATGTGATTCAAGTTCTCAAAACGAAGAAATAAGACCTAGAAAGGAGAACCAGAAACTAGAATAATGAATAGTGCAGACACCAAGAAAATACGGAGAAAATGATGGTCTGGACGCAGATTGAAAATCACAAGAACGTGGCTTGGAACGTCAACACAGAAGAGAACCTTCTTGAAGTAATGCGAAAGCGATTCCGAGGGGTAAAAAGTCTCGCCGAAGAGGGGATGTTTTAGTCCGTATAATACATTATACACCATTTCGACGACGGTCGATTTAACGGTGCATAAAGCATTTCACCTCCGCACTACACAAAAACAAAAAAAGCTACACTTGTGACTGCTTATGTGGTTAGAAGACAACAAAATATTCCATAAAATTACTTTAATGGTAGCAATAGTAAATGAAAAGTTATTTTTTTTTTACTTAAAACTATACTCCTAGATGACGTAGCTGTTTATTTATTTAGTTTCAATCAATATCTTCTTTAAGTCTAAAAACAAGTAGATTTTTATCTAGAATAATAATCGCTTAATAATCTAATTTGAATAATTAAGAAAAATTGAATTTTATACAAAAAAATTATATAAACATTTATTTTTAATAAATTAATAATTAAATAAATATGTGATATACACAAAAAATAATATTGACACCAATCTCCCCATACAATTTCTTTTACTTATTAGATCAAAAAATTTTGCCTAAACATACTGAATATTCCCAGCAACAATTCTATTTGTTTTTATGAATCTTTCAATGGAATATCACAGCAACAGTGTTACCAATATATTACACAAAAAGTGAAAAAATGCAAAACAGAGCAAAATTTGAATTATAGTACCCTTACTTAATTCTTAATAGCTCCTTTATTTGTCTCCGTTATTTTATTTGTTAGCACTTTATAATAATAAAAAGAAACCTGACAGTATTCCACGATTTCTGTTTTGCATAGCGATAGAATGACTTTTTGGTTCATACTTTGGGCCAAAAAAATTAATTTTCTGATATAAGTTTGGTATAACATTAAAACTAGTGAATCGATAGAACCAATTATTTAAGAATCATTTACTTTTAATTTAATTTTATTTAGTCTTGTTAGACGCAATCCTTAGTTTGTAACTTGAGATATGGTGCAACATGTAAAGTTGTGTCGGTAAAAAAATGGACCCAGAAATGGGTTCAAACTTTTATATTTAAATAATTTTAATTAGTATTCATGTATACTATTAACTTTTTTCTGTTAATTCGAGAGATATGAAAATAAAAATTTGAATGCGGACAATTTGTCTTATTATCCAAAGTATTTATACTTCACTAAAAATATCACAAAGAAAAAAATTTAAAGGAGAATTCTCGTAGATTTATAAATTTTAATTTCTTTATTATTTTTTATTTTAATTGTAAATAATAACGCCGATAATTAAGTTATAATTAAATCAATATTTTGTGACACGTTCCACATTTGCAATTGTACAGAAAAAAGGAAACAAAAAACAAAATTGTAAAAACAAACTTTGAAGGGACCTGCTTTTAGAAGTGACCTACCTACTAATGATAGATAATCCAAGAAACATCTGAACACTGTACTATGAATTCAGTGGCGTAACTACAGGGAAGCAACTGGAAGCAACGCTTTCGGGCCCCCGAATTTAGGGGGCCCCACTGTAAATGTTTGTAAACGTTTTTTGTTGTTATAACTTCATATTGCATTTTATAAAAGATACGTAAATTTTAAATTTAAAGTACATAATATGTATGTACTTCAAATAAAATATTAAATCTATTTATAAAATAAAAAAGTTTTTCTAAGAAAAGTATGTGTCTTAATCGAGAGTTTATATGGAAGCTATATCTAGATTTAAACCCATTTGAAAATAATTTTGTACGTTGTCTTTTGCAAATATCAGTACTGTATACACCAAATTCTATTTAAATACCTTTATTAAAAACGGAGAAACCTCATATCCGATTGTTAAGTTTATATCACAGCTACAAGAAATAGACGTCCAATTTCAATCAAATCAAATGGTGAACAGGGTCGGCTAAAAGTGTGTGTGTAAAGTTTTATTCGAAGAGTTCAAAAGCTGAGAGAGTAGTTTGAACTGATACTGTACTGATATATACTTAATGGTATTTCCGACGTTTCCTTTAATACGTTATGAAAATCTTGACAAACCTTATATACCCTTTTCACATTTTTCGTGTAAAGAGTATAAAAAGAGGGGCCCCTTAGTATGTTGATAGGGGCCCTTTAGTTAGAATTTGCTTACAGGCCTAAAAAATGTAGTTACGCCACTGTACGAATTACATATATCCTTAATAAAATTATGAAGGTTTAGATGAAATTAACAAGTATATAGTGTATTCATATTTAGTTGTAACTAAAGACGTAATAGCAGCCAGAGATAAAATAATTCTGTAATGAGTAAAATAAAATAGCAATAATATTTAACTTTATAGTAAAACTAAATTCAAATGGCTATATTTTCAGCTTGTAATTATTTAGGAACAAATTTAATATATAATTTTAACGTCTTACAATTCAAACACTTGGGTATTCAATACTAATAAATTATTATCTAATAAAGTCTTTTTTAAATATAAGTTTTAAATATTACCTTATATCTAAAATTATACTATAAAAAGATTGTGTGTGTGTGTGTTTATAATTGAACGATTTCATGGGAATTAATTAACAGACTTTAAGGTTTTGGGAGTTATACTATTATTCAACATAAATTTAATTTTAATAGCTTGCAAATCATATCAGTTTTATGAATTTATTTACAACAAAGTATCTAAGCGTGTAACATTTCTAGTTTAATAAATACAGTAATCAAAAGTTGTACTTACATATAAATTCACTTGATCCTTGCGAACCAACGCTGCCTCCATTTTGTTCGGTAAGATTAGTATTTATGCTAATTGAGGAACATTTAAAACCATCATTAAAGTAGACATGATCCGACGCCGGAGTCGTTTTCATTGTATAGTTTATTTTTATTATTTAATTTGTTGGGAGTTAAATATTTAATTTACTTTGTTGAATGTTTTTGAGTATATATTATAAAATCTTTACACTTGTTTTTCTGAAATAAAAATAAATATAAAACAAAAATTAATATTTATTAAAATATATAAAGATATAATTATAATATTTTATTTTTATATATTTTTTAACTAGAATCTTTAATTTAATTTGTAGTAGTTTTGAATAGTATATTAGTAATATGGTGCAAATAATGTACTTTATGAAAAATATTAATATTATAAATTATTAATTTTAATAATATTAATTTATTTTATTAATTTTAATTTTATATATTAAAATATTATTAAATATATATTTTAATTTATTATTTTTGTCTTAATGTTAAAAAGATAATTAAAGTTTTATTATAAAATAATTTGCACAAATCAATAAATTTTATTTTATTATAATTATAATTTTATATCATTATTTATCTCATTACATATATTTATCCTACCATATTAACATAATTTTTTTTAATTTAATTACTTTGTATTTATTTTAATAGAACTATGAAACTATTTAATATACTGGAATTATTTCCTTTCATTGAAGTGTTTTGAATTTGCATTTGATTATTATTATAATTATTGTATTAATTTTTATTTAACATTATTAAGTATTATAAATGATGATTTACTTTAATATTTATGAAAAAAAAAATTATCGAAATAAAAATATAATAATCAAATAATAACTAAAAATAATTAATGATCCAACTTATAATCCAATTATATTCCAATTAAATAACTATTTACAAATATTAGAAATTTAAAAATATAAAAAAAATTTAAAATAATATAAAATAAAATAATTATTATTATAGAATTTGAATGAAAATCAAATAAAAATAAAAAACTTTTTTTATATATTACATATAATAAATTGATTTCTTTAGTAATGCCAGTCCAAATGTAATGCAAAAAATATATAACTTACATTATTTTAATTTAAATCAAAATTCTTTCAACTATTTCTAAAATCACCTTTCTTCCACTATTTATTTTGGTATTTTTATTTTTTAACTATTTCTTCTGAACTTCATCGAGGTAAGTTGTGCATTGAATTTAAATAATTTATTGTACGAATCAGAAGTTTTTAACTATAGTTTGAAAAATATTTTTATCTTTATTTCTTATAAATCATAGTCGACTTTTTAGGTTAATTAATTTTTTATGGTTCGAAACGGTCATTAATTTTTTCATAATTTTTTCAGTACCTAGAAAATATATGATTCTGATTCTATTCATTTCGTGTACAATTCTCAGATATACAATATACATAGTTATACATATATATTTATATATATAAATATATATATGTATATTTTTATTTTTAAAGTGCTAATTTTTAACTTAATTTTTTAACTTACAAGGTAATTAAAAATTTATTATATTATTCATAATAAATTTTTGCTAAAACTAATAAAATTTATATGACTTATATGACAAGTTCTTAAAATTTTTTTCTAAAAAAACTGTAAGACTGAATTTAACTATATAAGATTTTTAACAACATCCGTTCTTAATTAATGAAAATGTAAATTATAAAATATCTAATAAAAATGATTATACCATAAAAATAAGATTAAGAGGTTTTTAAGAAAATATTATCCACGGGTTTATAATTAAGGAATCAGAATGAAAATAATTCAATTTATTTATCATTTTAATGAAGTTTTATTAAGAATGAACCTATTAAAAAATCAAATAATTTGTTATTTTTTATTGTGAAAAGAATATGAGAAATAATATTTTATTAACCGGATGTGGTAAATTTTATTAATTTCAATATTTTTTGCAATTACCAATGTGTAAATAAAAACTTTTTCTTTTAATATTTTGTAACTTATTTTAGAACTAAACTTATTAAATTTTTATTTTGTCAGTTTACACATCTTTATACATCTGAAACTATTAAAAAAATTCTTTTTTTTTTTGTAAAACTGAATAAAAAAATTTTTTTTTTTTAATTTAAAGTACTCCTTAATTCTTTACTTTGGATGATATATATGAATTTGTATATTATTTTAAAAATATCAATTGAAAATACAATATAATTCAACCTTGAAAATAGTTTTATTTTATTACACGTTTATCAAGTTATACACTATCAGACACGTGGTCTTGTGTACTTAAGGGCTCACGTGGCTCCAAAGTTCAATATATTTAATGTTTCTATAAATTATAGTAATTCAAGCTTCTTAGATAAATCATTTATAGGAATTTTAAATTTTAAAACTAAAAGTTTGTCCTAGCATAAGTTTACTTAATGTTCTATGACCACAAATACTGCAAAATAATTGTTTTTTTTGTGTATTGGACTCTGGAATATCTAAAAAGTGTGATTAGAAGTCTGGTAAAAGAACTATAAGAAACTCTTACATATATTGTCATACAATTTTTTTTTAAATTCATTTAAAAACTTTAACGGTCATAAAAATATTTATCGAAGTAATACATTTTTATCCATTAATAATACAAAAAATTATAAATAAATTTTTCTTACTTCATACTTAGTATTTTAAAAATTAACAAAATATTTATACATTTAAATGGTGAACTTTATGGTATATGTGCAGTAGTTTTAGTGCAAGAGATTCAGGAGAACATCAGAATCTCGCTAACAGTGTGGTATCATTCACTATCATGTTAAACGTATCAGAGACTTAAAAGGTATCCATATCTGTATCTACACTGATAATTAATAAGTGTTATTTTCGGGAAAGTAACACTTATTATTAAGAAATAGAGGTAGACTAAGAAGTATTTCTTAACGGATTGCCATGATTTGATGCAGCACTGATAAGTAAAAAACAAGGTAGTGATTTGCTAGGTATTAAGCACGCAGGAATAATGGTAATGAGTCCGCAAACAATTTTGAAAGAATGAATTAGTTATTTATATATGTAGATTGGATTCTTATTGTAGAATGAGTCATTTGCTGACTTTAATGTTTTTATCACCGTTGCAGTTAATTTCTACTCTATTTCATGCTATATATAAATGCATTTTTTTTATATTTATTTATAATGTAAACAGGTATAAAAATAAGCAGCGATCTTAGTCACTTAATTCATTTATACATTTTTTCTTTATATTTACTTTATAAAGGATAATAAAGAATGATTTATAATAAATTACAGTATTATACATAAAATAAAAAATCATAAAGAAATAGAATTAAGTTAATAATATTAATAAATACTAACAAAAAATACTTATTAACATTGTAGCTATGAATTTCTTTTATTCGCATTTATTTTAAAACAAAATTAGATAAATATAAAAATTAAACTAATGAAATTTTGTTACATACAATAAAAAGACAATCGTAGAAATTTATTTTAAAATTCCAACAAAATAGTAAAATATTTAAAACGTGTTGAAATGCATTTTTACTACAAAATATGAAACATTGAATTATTGTCGTATAGTGTAAGTAATGGATTGTTATCTGACAATGTGTGATTGACGTAGTATGAAGTAATAAAGTGAAGTGAAATAATATTAAGTAAACAAATTAAATATAAAATTAACTAAAAATTAATTTTTTAATAGTGAAATAGTAAAATGTTTCATTGTAATTTTGTGAGGTGCTCTTAATAGTTACAAAGTAAAAATAAAAGTTATAAAATCTTGCATTGCTTGATTAAAATTTTAATGTATTACTATTAAATTTTATAACCGTCTCAACTGCTGTTACTAAATTGAAATCAGGAAGATATTTGTAGCAAATAAAGTATCTAAGAATTGATAATGAAAAACACTTCTGAACTTCAATAAGTAAGAAAACATACTTAAGGTTAGATTATAAGAGCATAACAGTTATTACTATAAATTGTAAATGTTAATAAATATAAATGTTAATAAAATATGTTAATTTCTAAATATTTATGGCACAGT